ACTCGGAATCCCCGTGCAGCATGAACAGACTTCACCAACCAGGCACTCCTTCTGGTTTGATCCACGATAGATACATCCTCAGTTTCTGGATTGCGGAAATGGTCCATGAATCTTGACGTCTGGACAATTTGGACGTTAACACGTGCACCTGCTGCCTTTCTGTACAGCGTGGCAGGCAGCAGGTGCCAAGGGCAGCACACCTCGCCATGCGTCTCAGTTTGGAGACACAGAGGAGGAGCGTGTATGTGATTTTCTGCTAGCATCGAAGACTTCATCCTGTGTCTAGCACTTTGGGCCATCATGGATCAGCGTGGGCGACCTAGATTCCAGATGAGCTCGCATCCTGCACGAAGACGACACAGCACGCTGGCGTGTTTCGCTCGTTGCTCGCGGTGGCTTCTTGGAGCTGTTGGAGCTCTCTGATGCAGCTTCAGTTGGAACTGAGTGCACCCTGAGTAAGCGGGGTGCTGTGAGCCTGTCTATGTCTGATTCAGCATTCAGGCAAAGTGCTCTGGCATCCCGGATAGCAGCGCGATGTCGCGTGTATGGCCGGGCTTTCTGCAAACCTGGGCTGGGTTTGAGAAGATCTCCACGACTGTCTCCACGAGCCATGGCAGCCATGGACTCCAAGCTCGGCCTTTGCAAAAGGTCGGGTGCCTCTGCCTCTTGGGGTTCAAGGGGCCCAAGAGGAATCTCTGCATCCAAAGACAAGGCAGCTGCAGCCGCGATTGCGGTTCGGTGTCGGCCCACAAGACGGGACTTGGGCTGGCCATCTATGCCGATAGAAAAGCTCTTGACTGGTGGGAGCTCTTTGGCTGAAGGCAGCAGTGGAGGCTTTGAAGACGTTGTTGAAAGACTCCGCGGTCTTCTACGTTGCCTCTTGCTGTCCTCACTTCGCTCAACATTCTGAGCATTGGTCTCCTTCTGGACTTCAACCCTCATACCGCTCAAGCTGTGATCACGTTGCCGCTTATCTTGCCGGTCATACTCCTCCTCACCACTTGGAGCCTGCAGCCGCCATGCAGTGCTACGCGTGCTACTGATTGAAGGCTTGTGATCAGAAAACCGGTCCTGCACCGTGTCAGTCAAGCGTGCCACCAAAGGCACCGATCTGCAGTGCGGCCTGCAATGCTCAGTCTTAGGTAGTAAGAATTTAGGATTGATTCATGGAGTCTAGACTGCAAAACATAAGATCCATTCTGGTCATTCTGTGCCGCTCCTCCACACTTTCGGTGGTGAAGATGTTGGCTTGACAGGGAGTCGGCCATTCATCAGCTTCGTGGGTGCTTCCTGCCATGCACATATACTGGCTTTGACTGTAGGGTAGATGCCAAACAGACATGCTCTGTTCTTAACTACCATGCTGCATCCACACTGTAATACATTTAAAATGCACCCAAAAACCACACCTTTTTCAGATGCCCGGATGTCGGACCTTTCAGTATTTTTAGATCTCCGCATGCCTCCACAGCCTCGGCATCCGGCTCGGAGTTGCTTTCTTCCTGCCATGCTGCGGGGGGCTGCGCCGCATACTTGTATCGTCATTGCTTCCGAGTGTTCCTACGCCAGCTTACAGCCTCAGTCGGTGCTTCTTGCGGCTCCGTCGGAGACGCAACGAAAGCAGACGGGAAGCCACTCTCGGGATCCTTTGCCAACATGCGCATCCTAGAATCCCAGAAAGGAGGCAAAAACTGACACAACTTTGCTGTCCTTGATGCAGTCCCACGCTGATATCCACGAGGAGGACTCAAAGTCCTCTTCCGCAGGCATCACCTCCCGAAAGTGACATGCTACGAACCCCACATTGCCTGAACAATCTGACCTCAGAAGGTGCCACAGTGGGAACATGTGAGAACCCTTGAATCTTATCAAGTTTATGCTTTGCAGCTCTACGAAAACGAGTGCTTGCGCCATGCCACTGCTTGTCGAGGCCGTGCGTTGTTCGACGATAAGGTCTCGTCTTGGACCAGGTTGTCGTCAACGACCAGCTCGCCACAAAGAACTTTTGGCGACGGTACACCTTGACAACCCACCAATGTGGCACCCGACCATTAACAGGGCCATGCCGAATGCAGAGAAATTGCACGACAAGTGTAAATGCGCCTTCAATGGCCAGGCGTGCCCGAGGCTCAGCACTGTCGGCATACGGGAGGGCCATGGCCGCCAAAGCCTGTCTTTGCTTACAAGAATCACTTACCTTGGACTTTCCGTGGGACGTCCTTGCAGCTTTTAACCGGTAGCATGGGGCGCCTGCAGCGGAGCATGCGGCTGCTTGCTGCATGGAAGAGCCACACAGGTTGACTGGCCGAGGCCGTTCCTTGCACCGTTGAGCACTCGAAACATCTCGACGTTTCGTTTCATGATTCTCCAGGCAGTTCTGAGTCATCCTCAGAGATGACTCAATTCATACGGCATTTTTTAAGCCGTGATGCAAGAGCTCCGAAGCTTCCGAAGGCCTGCTTGTTTCCATGGCCAGGGAGCTCATGGCTAACCTTGGTGGCAGGCTAAGCGGCAAGTTGCTGCAAGTTCGTGTCAATTCCGTTACGTTTGACAAGATTGGGCTTGCACCAAGGATAATTACAAGGTGAGCGGTGCAGCTCTTCTAAAGCTGTGAAGGATATTTCGCAGGCACATGATCTGGTGGCTGCCAGGAGGCTCAAAGTTGCTTGGCACAAGGGCCGCAGAAACCTGTGGCAGCACCATCGTATTTCGACTGGCAGAGCCGACCATGACCTCCTTACTTGTGCTAAGGAAAGCCTGAAGGAAATCCAGGAACGGTCCGGTGCTGCTTCCAGCGACGACCGCTTTCCTGTTTCAGTGCTGCATGCAGGATCACACATGCTTAGCTTGCTGCTCAACAAATGTGAGACTGACCATCCACGCAGAGAGTCCACATATTGGCTGCGGTGGTCAACGATGCGCAATAGCTCTGAGGGCAGGCATCCTGCCAAATGCTCAAACCTCAGAGGCGTTGCAATACACTTGAACAGACTTGAACTCAACTAACTCAAGTATGCAACTCTGTAGACCAAGGGGCTGCTGCTACAAATGCCCGAGGAAGAATACGTCACTCCGGGCTGCGTTACACTCCTGGACCGTGCAGGAAATCCCTTCCCTCCTGCTGATTTATGAGCCAAAGTCGTATTGTTCGAACCGTAAGGTGGATTGTGCATTGTCCTTGCAACCGCTGCTAGGCGGCAATCCAAGAAGGAGGCTAGGGAATCCTGAGGACAACGTTAGCGCGATAGAATTAACACGCCTGGAACGAGGGTCGACGTGTGCATCGGCTAAGTCCGGGTCCATAAAGGCCTGCTCCTGAAGCAGTGGGACTTGCCACTGCGCCACAGGGCACGAGTACTGCTGACAATCTCCTGGAGTTTTCCTGAAGTGCGGACGCTTGCATGCAGCTTCCGAGACAGGACGCAGACTCGAAGAATGTGCATCTGGGAACAGTCAAGATGCAAGCGATTGCAGAAATATTGAACCTCGGCCAGGCGCACGCGCATAACTGCGGCGGAACAAGATACACACTCACACACACACACAGACAAAGAGCTCTTGTTTAAGCTTGCGGATGATTCAGTGCCAGTGCAGCTGAAGTAGCACGAACCATTTGGGCAAATGGTGCATGCCTGCATAGGACGACCTGCTACCAAGCGTTAGGTTCGCGAGCAGATGCAGCAGAGATCAGCAGAGGCTAACTGATGCTGGCTGCATTTAGAAACGGTGCCAGGCATGAACATTCCTATCGGATGCAACTGATGCAACACTATCCCTTGACTGCCTGCTGCTCGCGTTGAAGCAGCACCACGTTCCCAACACAGGCCTTGAAATACTCCCAGAGTGCGTTGAACACGACTGACTGCAACCACCCTCTACTCACAGCAACTTGCCCAGCAAACGCATCCTAGAATGAATCCTGGCAAGCTTCCCACACGTCGCCCGGCATTGGGTGAAACTCATCTCCAACCTCAGGAGGCTTCACTTTCATCCACTAACATGAAGCAGCCAGAGAGCCTTCATGCCCGATGTCTTACGCGGAAGTACCAGTCTGGCACAGGCAGGCGGAACTGGACTTCACCGAAGAAAAAACATGCTTAGCAACGCACACGTTCGCCTACCCTTGAGTAGAATTCCTATGGCCTTTGCATGCAGTTCCTCCCCTCTTGGCTACTGACTCTGTAACCTGCCCACGTCACAGACCTGTGGGTTTGAACATCTGAGCCCTTCACAAGGAAGTGACCTGACCCGCAGATTGCAGTCGCAACGAAGGCCTGGCCACCTCAACGAGATGTGCAAGAAGTGTGCCACGCCCGCTTGAGAAACGAGCATGCTTCACACTAGATAGAGATAGTCGAGCAATGCATGTGAGCTCGTGCACAGGGCCTCGTCTCGGATCAAACCAGATCGAACAATCGAAGATGCATACATGAAT